AGAAAAATTTATCTTAGGAAAATGGCTCACACACTTATAGAAGCTGGCAAGTCCCAAGTTCATGGATCAAGTGTCAAGCTGCAGGCTTTTTCCGATTCTCGGCAGCTGCTGGGGCTGACAAGCTCAAGGTTGGCAGGCAGTGTACTGGCTGTTGACTCCAATGAATGATGAATCTAAGATCTCCAGGCTGAATGGTAGATTGTTCGCTCACGGACAGTTGTAGGCAGCACAATAGGATCCCGATCCACAGAAGAGTGTCTCTTTTCCCAGGATGTCCATAAATACATTGGAAGCAGGCCACACCCCTAGGGAAACTCCCTTTCAATGGATTCATTGCTCAAAACATATACCTCTGATCCTATCTCGGGAATAACCACATCACAGCAGCTTAAACCACACAGAATTGTGGTCCGGCCAAGTTGACACACAGCTCCAACTATTGTAGCAGTCAAATGCAAAGGGTAGAATTAAATCAGTGCTGACATAGTGTTGAGGAGCCCTGGTGGCACAGAAGTTAAGCACTCAGCCGCTAACCAAAAGATTGGCAGTTGGAACCCACCCAGCAGCACCACAGGAGAAAGACCTAGTGATCTGTCTAGATTACAGCCTGGAAGATCCTATAGGCTAGTTCTGCTTCATCACATGGGATTGCTGTGTGTCAAAATCAACCTGACAGTGCCTAACAGCAACAATACAGTGTTACCACTGTCATTGTAATTGTGACAAGGAAACAGGGATGCTTTGGGCATCTTTTGCTTCCCTATTTTGAAATAATTAGTGTATATGAATTTTGCTTATGAAATTCATCTTTAATGCATTATAAGTTATGATTTTACTTAAAAATAGAATTGCTGTGACTATTTACATTAGTAAATCCATTGATTCTGATTTGTCAGTGGCTTCCCATTGTTAGTTTCTTGGGAAGAAAATTAATTATCCAGTAATTAATTTATTAGTTTGGATTGTGAAGCTATTTAACCTTCTCTACATATCATCACCCTTAATACTGACCTTGCTTTTCTCCTCAGGCTTCCTGTTCCCAAGCTTGAAGACACCATTAGAAGATACCTCAGTGCGCAGAAGCCCCTCTTAGATGATGGACAGTTCAGGTAAACATCGAGGACCCTGGATGATCATGGTTGGGGTGGTTCAAGGGAGTCTGGCAAGGAACAGTAACCTAAGCATCAAGGCGTGTCTATGACTTGATTGAGTCTCTGGGAACCCAGGACGTAATCTGTACATGTGCAAATTCAGGAGATAGATTTTCACTATTTGTAAAGGGCAGACCAGGCCCTGAGTTAAGAATCCCTCTAACCAGACTTAACAGGAGATGCTTTATAAGGTAAAATGTTTATCTGGGCAGGTGTACCTGGAAGGCTAGCTGGTACTGATCATTTGCAGAGGGTGTGCTCTCAAGGTAGAAAGGCCCATTGAAGAGACCCAGGGAGCCAGCCTGAAGTTTGAGCATAGAATTAGAAAATGACATTGGATATTCTCAAAAGAGGAATGGATTAAGCTCTTGTAGCCTGTTTTTCCATAATGGGAATTTTTTGTACAGGCTTGTCATTAGAATCACAGAAGCCTTTGCTGGACAGTGATGGGGAAACATAGATGAATTATTCATAATCTACCCCTCTGCTTTTAAATACCCCATCAGTCATTTGACATTTCTCTTGATATGGCAATAAATTAATAGCTTTATAAATATTTTTTTAATCTTGTAAGGTAGTACTGTTACATCTGTTTTACATGTAAAGCAACTGAGGTCATAGGCATCAAGGTCACACAACATAAAAGTGACAGAGCTGGGATTCACAGGTAGCCTTTTTGACTCCAAAGCCCATGTCCTTTTCTCTATACCAAGCTGCTTCTTTGAGTACAGATTGTTTTGTGAGATGTTGATATTCCTGATCAATCATTTTAAGAAGATATCCTAGACTTAACCATCTTAGATTGATTCCTGTTCTGATTGGAGGCAATCTCATTCCCAGGTTCTGGGTATATGCTGTTGGGGACTCAAAGCTCTCTTTATGAGTTCTTGGCCATAAGCCTAAAAATCATGTATTCTCTGCCATGATTTGATTCTGCCTTTCCTTGAACATTTCAGGAAAACAGAACAAATTTGCAAGAGTTTTGAAAATGGGAGTGGAAAAGAACTGCATGAGCAACTGGTTGCTCAAGACAAGAAGAATAAACATACAAGCTACATTTCAGGTAGTCTGGGCTTTTGGGTGTGATTTTTCCCAGAGTTCTTCATAATGGAAATTGAGGCATCTTCGCTCCTGTTTGTTCTCAAAGATATTTCTGGTGGGAGCAGTATTGAAGTGTGATGTCTCATCCTCTCTTCTTGAGGTCAGTATCGAGGCTGAGCTAGTTTCTCCTTCTAAGGTGTTGGCTGAAGTCTGTGCTCAAGAGCAATGACTTACCTTCTTTGTGGGTTTTTCTCTCTGAAAAAGATACAGGGTTAAGTCCCTGTATCCTGTGTGTATATCCTAGGTCTTTCACTGTCACCTAACTGCCTTCTGCAGCCTTATCTCTTCCCACTCACTCTGACATGCCTGATGCTTCAGCAAAACTGAATTCCTCATTGTTCCCTGAACCCATTAGTTTTTAATTCGTCTGTGCCTTTATCTGTGTTGTTTCCAATACCATGTTTTACCTGGCAAATTCTTCCTTTAAGACCCAGGTTGGGTAATTTTTTACAAAACTTTCCCAGTTTTTCTCCCTCCCCATTCAGAGTTTGTTGCTTCTTCTGTTTCCACCATACTTGTTTTAATTTAGCTTATATTTTTGTCAAAGGTATATATATATGCTGACCCTAACCATGGTATTTTCAGTTACCTCATATGCATGTGAGAGCTGGACAATGAATAAGGAAGACCAAAGAAAAATTGATACTTTTGAATTATGGTATTGGCAAAAAATATAAAATATACCATGGACTGCCAGAAGACTACAAGAAAATCTATCTTAGAAGAAGTACAGCCAGATTGCTCCTTAGGAGGGAGAATAGCGAGACTTCATGTTACGTACTTTGGTCATGTTGTCAGAAGGGACCATTCCTTAGGGAAGGACATTATGGTTGGTAAAAGAGAGGGTCAGTGAACAAGAGAAAACCCTCAATGAAATGAATTGATACAGTGGCTGCAACAGTGGGCTCAAATATAGCAATGATTGTGAGGATGGTACAGGATCTGACAGTGTTCCCTTCTGTTGTACATAGGATCGCTATGAGTTATAACCAACTTGATGGCATCTAACAACAACAACATAGCTTAAAGAGTCAGATAGTTCCGTAAGGCTTTTTAGGAAAAACAGCAGTTCCCTGCCCCTGCCCTAATTTCTCACTCCTCATTTTCACCTCCTATTTGATTCTTTTGATATCTGCCCCCGTCCCTAAAGTATATATACTTCTGGTACTGCATCTTCTTTTTTTATTATTATTATTATTTGTAGACATTATATATTGATACCAAGAAATTCTGGTGGCACAGCAGCTAAAGCATTCAGCTGCTAACAAGAAGGTCAGCTGTTCAAATCCACCAGCTGCTTCACAGGAGAAAAACAAGGCAGTCTGCTTCTCTAAAGATTTACAGCCTTAGAAACCCTATGAAGCCGTTCTACTCTGTTCTGTTGGGTCTCTGTGAGTTGGAATCGACTCAGTGGCAGTGGGTTTGGATTTTTGGTATATTGATATCTTGCTATAGAAAGTTAGAATTTAGTAGTCAATTGTATTCCACTACACACATTAGTAGGACCTCTGGTGGTACCATGATTAAGGCATTTGGCTGCTACCCGGAAGGTCGGCGGTTCATACCCACTAACTGTTCTGCAGGAAAAAGAGGAGGTAGGTATTCTACTTCCATAAGGATTTACAGCCTTGGAAACCCTGTGGGTCACTGTGAGCTGGAATCAACTCGATGGCAATGGGTACACAAATTAGTAGTGCTTGTCCCTTTGATTTCCTATTATAGTTACTTGTAATTTGGGTTATCTCAGAAGTGTTTATACTATTATAATCATGTAAGTGCTTTTGATAGCTGAGCCATTAAGTATATGAGGATTTTTTTTTTCTTTCCTCCATGTACTTTTTGTTTTCCCTGAAGTTAATAATTATCTCATACTTTGTTTTGCTTATTATTCTGTATGCTTAATGATTTGCTCCCATGCTCATCCCAAGTTGTCTAAATCTCCTCTTGATACATGAAGATATATTAGATATTCTGTCAGTTTTGGTCTTTGTGACAAATTGTCTCCTGGAATTTCTGACTTGCTCTTGTCTGGATTGGTGAGCTGCTTGGCCTACTGTATAGGTTCTGGTCTTGCAGTGTCCTTTCACCATCAGCCAGGTAATATCTTCATCTCTTTCTCATGTTGGGACTTCTGTTTCTTGTATTTCATATTTCCTTCCTTCTTGGCTTCTCCCCTGTTTTGGTGGAGTGCATCTAACATTTTCTTTCAGGAAGCAGAACATGGAAGCAATATTTTTAAAACTGCTGTCATACATCATTGATAATTTATTTGGCTAAGTTGGAAATCATTTTCCCATAGATTATTTCTTGAGGGGAAGATTTTATTGCGATTTGGGTGAAAGTTTATAGAGCAAATTAGTTTCCTATTCAAGGATTTATACACATTTTGTTTTGTAACGTTAGTTACAATCCCCTCAATGTAGAAGCACTCTTTCCACTTCCTCCCTAGGTTCCCTGTTTGCATTTGCCCATTTTGCCTGCTCCTTCATGCCTTCTGAACTTTGATTTTGGGCAGATACTGCCCTTTTAGTCTCATATAGTTGATTGTTCTGAGGATCGTGTTCCTCACAGGTGTTATTGTTGACATTATAGACATATCTTTTATGTGGCTGAAAGGTGATCTCCAGGAGTGGATTCAGTTCCAGGTTTGAAGGGTGTCTGAGGGCCAAATGTAGTCTTCAGGCTTCCACCAATTTCTCTCAGACCAGTAAGTCTGGTCTTTTTTATGATTCTGAATTTTGTTCTACATTTTTCTCCTGCTCTGTCCTGTTATAATCCCCATCAGATCAGATGGTAGTTGTAGCCAGGTACCGTCTAGTTGTTCTGGTCTCAGGCTAGTGGAGGCTGTGATTGCTGTAGTCCATGAGAGCTTTGGACTAACTGTTTAGTTGCATCTTTGATTTTCTTCACTCTCCTTTGTTCCAGACAGGGAGAAACCAATAATTGCATCTCAGAAGTCTACTCACAAGCTTTTAAAACTCCAGTCACTACTCCCCTTATAATATGGGTGAACCTAGAGGATGTTATGCTGAGTGAAATTAGTCAATCACAAAAGGACAGTTATTGTATGAGACCACTACTACAAAAAGTAAAGAAAAGATTTATTACATAGATTTGCTCTTTGAAGGTTATCAAGGAGGGCAGGGGAGGAGAGGGAAAATCGCCAACTAGAGGGTGGGCATGTATTAACTTTAGTGAAGAAAGAGGTGGTATACAATAAGGGGGAGAAAATGATCAAGGCAGTGAAAGACAGGGAGGAGCACAAGAATTAAAGGTAATGCAGGTGAATATTATCACGTACATAATCCTGCAATGATAAGCAATAACAATAATTTATAAATGGATACATAGATAAACACTCGATCTGAACAGGGGTGGGAAGGTGAATGAGACTACACCTACAAATACATAAAGAATTGACAGAGGCTGCCTCTACCTACGTCTGTGTGCTGCAGTTATATCCATGAATGTAGTAGAGCATACAGGGACCAAAGTTATAAAAACATCTTAGTCATAACCAAGTACTTTGAGGGAATGAGTTGCTGGGTATGGAGGCTCAGGACCATAGTCTTGGGGGGCATTAAGGGCAATTGGCATAAGATAGTCCACAAAGACAATGCTCTATATCCTACTTTGGTGAGTAGTGACTGGGGTCTTAAAAGCTTGTGAGTGGCCATCTAAGGTGCAACTGTTGGTTTCTTCCCATCCAGAGCCAAGAAGATTGAAGAAAACAAAAATGTAGGAAACAATTAGTCCAAAGAACTAATGGAGTATGTGAACCTCAGCCTCCACAACACTGAAACTAGAACTAGATGGTGCCAGGCTACCACTGTTGACCACTCTGAAAGGAATCACAATAAGAATTCCCAGATAGAGTGCGGGAAAATGTGGAACAAAGCTCAGAATCATAAAAAAGACCAGGCTTACTGATCTGATGAAAACTGGTGGAACCCCTGAGACTATGGCCTTTAGACACCCTTCAAAATAGGAGCTGAACTTAACCCCCGTGACTCAGTTGGCAGCCAAACAATAGACAGGCCTATAAGGTGAACAGTAATATTAGGAAGGTATGCACTCATTGGAACAATCAAGCATATGAGATTAGGAGGACAGCATTTGCCTAAGGTTGGAGCTAGGGAGGCAGGAGGGAATGAGAAGGAAGAATGAAAGCAAGGGATGGGTGCAGGGAGAAAGTGGGAAGGATGCTTTTACAGTATGGGGATTGCAGTAAATGTCACAAAACAGAACATGTATCAGTTGTTGAAAAGAAAGCCAGTTTCCTCTAATCACAATTTTTGAAAAATCAGCCAGTACAAACCCTATGGAGCTGCAAAAAGGGCAGGCATGGGTGCAGTGTCCTCTCATCTCTTCTAATTTCACAAGAGGGAGACAGAATCACCATCAGCAGCCCAAGGCTAGTTCCTATAAGACAGAAGCCAGACATGCAACCACCCTCCAACCTTTTTACTAATTCTGGCACCAGCTATCCTTTCCACAACACTCTCTACTTCTCTGCTGGGTTCAATAATTCATTGGCAATGGCCACAAAGAACTCACAGAAAATACTCACAATTGTATGGTTTATTAGGGAAACAATAGGTTACAAATCAGGTTTAGGAACACTAAGGATACGATTCTATGATCAGGCCAGCCTCCCCTCTGCCATGCCCATAGGCTCCTCTCTTTAGTGTTTGGCCTCTCAGCCTGGCCTTTGCCCTGCCCAGGCAAGTATTACAAAAAGTTCTTTTAGGTCTGCCAATAGGTGCCCTTAGGTGTACCCCGCTCCAGCAGCAAGGCTTCTCCCGAAGGCACTCAGCTTTCTCACTCTGTGGATCAGCAAGCCTGCTGCTCTTGTCTCCTGCCAGTCTCTTGGTTCTGCTGCTACTGCTATTTCTCTGCCGTCTTCTCAGTGCAGGGATCTTGGGTCCAAAAACTTGTTCAGCTCTTAGCTCTTCTCTGGCT